TCTCCAACAACAGAATCGTATCCAGGGGGGGGGCACATGTGTTCCGGCAGAAACCCCGCGGTGGTGGTGTACGCCTTGCCGACGGCGACCGTAGCTGTGAACATGCACCTCCACTTCTTGCCTCGCGCACCCACCTACACGGGTCACAGAGAGAACGGACCGAACAGGCCGGAGGCGCGGGGCGGCTGGATGAGTGGGCATCTGTGATGCGTCTCCTCGAAGAAGCTAACGGCTCCAACGGGGTGATGCTGCTACAGCAGTATGTCTGCATATGCAGCATGTCACAACAACAACCTCATACATCAAACCGTGTGGTAGCCAGACCTATGGCGACGGGCCACGCCACTCCACGTCACTCCACGCCACTCCACAAGGGCATACGTACCTTTTCGGATTGGGCGGCGTAGTCGTTGGCCTTCCCAGAGACGCTGCTGAAGTAGAGGCCCTCCCCGTACCGCAGCTTCATGTTCGTCCGCTGCGCCGTGCGCCCCGCCGAACCCCTGAGCCTGAAGCCGTGGGTGCAGATGCTGCAGACGTTGCAGTCCGGTCGCCCGCACGGGCCTCCCTGTTCCCCGCCGGTCGGGCCAGGTTCCAGAGGAACAGAAAAAGATATACACAATTCAGAACAGAGAAACGAGGGTGAAAGCACTGCTGCTGCGTACAAAGTATTATGCTCCCCCAGGATACAGTTTGGAACGAAGCAGCAGTGAGCGGTGAACATGGCAAAATGGTTAATTCCTACCCCGGCCTGTCCTTACCCCACCAAGGACGAGCGCAAGAGCGTGAACGGCTTGGGAGAGGGGGGTAACGCGGCCCAGGGAAAAACGAGGGGTGAGCTGGGGCCCCGCGGACAGCGGGGTGACTGCTTTCCATGACCGCGACTGCATCTACGAGTTAATCCGACTCGGCTTGAGCACAACCATCGTACACGCGACGAGGCTCTTAAAAATCTTACAAGCTGTACCAACAACTGATCTGCCGCCTCTACCTCCAAGGAGCGGCCAGTCATTTGTCATACCCTGAGGTCCATGAAGAACCGGCAAGCGTCGGAGCAGGAGGTGCCGTGGAAGCGGCGACGGGTGTTGTTGGTCGCCTTCTCGAAGACCTTGTGCTTGTGGCGCACGTCCCCCGGTACCTGGGGATGAACGTGGAGACCGGCCATCATCACATCGCCCAAGAGCATGGCGTGGTACGTTGCCGGTTGTTGATGTCGTCATATTTAGTGTATTTCCACACCAAACGCGCCTTCGTATGAAGTAGCAGAAGTGAAGACGGGCCACCATCGTCACCCCAACTACTGACCGCCCCCCCCCCCCTCTCTGTCTTCGTGTCTTACCTGTCCTCTCTCCTCAAAACTCATGCAGGAGTAGACACCTTGCACCTCTATTCACACCACATCCCTTTCCTGAGAGAGAGCTGCTGGTACCCAAGCAGACACAGACTGAAAGCTTCCAGATGCGATCGCGAAACCGCTCACCTGGACCTTAAAAATCCTCTCCACGCTAAGCCCGTCAATAGGCTTCTGGAACTTAACAAGGAACTGTTCCTTGAGCGACGAGTGCGCCTGGTGCGATTTGGTCAAGACGCTGAGCTTGAAGTCATCCGAGGGCCCACCCCTGAACGTTCTATCCACGTGAGCCTCCGGGTTTTGAGTCTGAACAAAGGAGTTAGTTGTAGGAACGAAGGGAAAAACGCGAGCACATAGAAGAGCGAGACGAAGAGCGTGGCGAGAGGAGTTTCAAGTGAGGCAAGCGTTTCGGTGGTTGAGATTTGCGTCCCAACACGCTTGAGTGGGTACTCGGGGAGATAGCATTTGCCGTCCTCTCGACTTGTGCCATCTTCGCTGCTGTGTTTCGTCTCCCTCACTGCTGTTTCCAATCGCTCACCACTACTTCTCACTTCTCCTCTTGCCTACCCCGCCCGCATTCTACCGAAAATTACGGTGGCCCTTCGTCCCCTGTCGACCACAAGCCGCATTTGAAGGTTTGAAAATGGCTCTACGAGGAGCAGAAATGGTGCGCCGACGCGACCTCCCGGCTCTCGACATGACGGCAGCAGCTCCCCTACACATGTACCGTGTCAAAACCACTTTTGTGAAGTCACATCTCGTTAAAAGCAGACCTCACTCACTCACTCACCAGGTTCCGCTCCTCGGCCTTGATGCGGTGGTAGTCGCGACAGTATCCCATGTCGTCCATCGTGCGGTCGTGGAGCATGGTGAAGTCGTTACAACCCGGCAAGCTGCACTTCATCTGCCCGACAAAGTGGTGCGCGCCACAGGTGTACGCGCAGCGGCTGCCGCAGAAGGCCAGCTGGTCGCCCGACCGAATATCCATCCACGCCGGCCTTGGTGATGTTTTCGTTGGCGGTTCGGGGGATTGCCTTCTTAGATTATTTATCTCCATCACGAAGGGGGGGGGGGGGGGGGG